TGCGAGAGACGAGGCCGCAAGTCCGGTGAGGAGGGAGTGTCGATGGTGCAAGACTGCTTTTATTGTACGAGCAGAGGGCAGGTGTGGAGGGATAAACCGCACGTGCGAGGGTGAGTGCCGCACATGCGGAAGAGTGTGCCATACATGCGGAAATGGGTACCGCACTTGCAGAAGTATGCTGAGTTCGAAAATCTGCCTTTTTTCTTCTTCTTGGGCTGAGTGCATCTCACTTTTTACACACCTCCCTCTCTCTCTAAAAATATCTTTTCCTCTCATTTCTCTCTAAAAACAGCCACCCAACACCATAAACTCTTGATTTCTTCCAATCCATTGGAGTTTTGACCCAACACCCTTCATTAATTTTGGAGTACTAACCGAGGGCTTCGTTTTGTGCGGTGGAGATTGGATTTCAACGCCGTCAAATTTGGGGGTTTCTTTTCTTTTCTTCTCCAAAACTTGAGGTAGGGATTTTCTTCGATCTTTTTCAATACCTCATCTATAGATAGACATGTGGTAGTTTTATTACATAAAAACCATGTTCGTTATGGATTTTTCGATTATCATGAAAGGGTATCTAAGATTTGATATTTGAGATTGAGATTTATGAAATTGATTGTTGTTTGGGCTAATTGGAGAGTGGTTTAACATGTTCATGTTGAGAAAGAGGTAAAGCCCTAATTTTTGTAATAATGCCTAATAGGTAAAAATGGTTGAAATTGTGAAATAATCATGTTATGAATTAAGGAATTTGATTAATTATTTGGTAATTAATTAAGATTAAATCGGGTCTCATGATTTTAGCATTAACTTCGTGTTGGGTTGATTATAGTTGAGTATAACGAATTGGTAGTTTGTTCATTGCTAAAAAGGGGATTAACCATGAGATTTGAATCATTGGGTTACACTTTGTTGAATTCAAATTGAATGGATTATGACTTTGTTATCCATGGATTGGGTTTTTGGTTATGAAGGAAATGAGTTTTTTTTTTTTTTTTGAAAATATAGTTGATGTATTGTGAATTGGGAATTGTGGAAATTGATTTTGGAAAGAAGAGGTAATTATAACTCTTTTGCAAATTGAGAAAGAACTTTAGGTAGAAGTTGAAAACCTTTGAATATTATTGTTTTTATTGGACTTAATGCCTTATAAGAATTGGATAATTGTATTACGTATATTTAATACATATTGTTTAGAGGTTTTGTCCTTGGTCATCGGTGGAGGATGACATTGTGATGTTGAAATGATTATGTATGTGTAGTACACTTGAGTTATTTATGCTTGTTGTACAAAGTGATGGTTGGAAAATGTGCATGCGCTGAGAAAATGAGGTACCAGTACCTTTTAGCTAGCGCTTAGAGAACTTGGCCGCACTGAAAATGAGAGGTACCAGTACCTTCCAGCCAATACCTGGAGAACTTGACAGAGGTACTATAGCGATCCCGGTTTCCCTTTTCTTTAATTGTTGTATCCGGACTTAGGTTCCGTGGAGTTAGTTGTTGTGTGTGTTTTGTTTACATCCTCTACTCCTTGTGTTCGAGTCTTGGGTTGTGTTGGGCAAGTTTGAAACAGGTTGGTTGAACTTGGAAACCAAGAGTAGTTGTCCAGATTTTGGCCTTCACGCTCGAGCTGGGATTTTGACGCTCGAGCTGGCCCTTCGTTGTTGTCTGTCCGCTCGAGCGGAGTTTTTGACGCTCGAGTGGAGTTTTCGACGCTCGAGCGTAGTTTTCCATCTTCCAGTATCTCCTCTGCAGTGTTGTATGCTCGAGCGGGAGTTTTGACGCTCGAGTGGGATGTTGTGTGTGACGCTCGAGCGGGAGTGTTGACGCTCGAGCGGAGACCTAGTTCTGTAAAAGTTCTGGGAGTGTGTATCCGCCGCTCGAGCAGGATTGTTGACGCTCGAGCGGGAGTCTATGAGTGACGCTCGAGCGGGGCGACTGGGTTAAAGCTCCGTGTTTTTGACTTTTCAAATCACTTTTTCCACTTCTCTTCTCTCTCTTACTTTTCCGAAAACACCATTGTTGAGCTTCTCACTCTAGAGCTCTACCTTCTCTCTAGGAATTGATCTAGTAGGAGTGATTTCCTCACCTTTGGCCTTTACAATAAAGTTGTTGATCGTCGAGGGCTATCTTTTGATCCGAAAAGTTCGTGGTTTGGAGCATTTTCGTTTTCTTCACCTTCTTGGTTGGGAGTCATTCTTTGAGGTAGGGATATCCTACTCCTCTCTATGAGTTTTGTCTTTAAATTTTAGTATTTTGAGATGTTGGGGTTGGTTTGGTAATTTCGTGAAAGTTTGGGGCCTTTGTGTAAATTTACAAAAGTTGGGGTTTTAGCTATATAAAACCTAAATGCATGTTTGACATGAATGAATGAAGTAAATGTTGAAACATTGATGAAAGTGAAACCGTGTAGGGTTGAAATGTTAATTATGGAAAATGCCCTAATTACATTGATTGATTAATTTGTAAAATTAATTGTTGGAAATTGGAAAAGAGAAGGGATAAAGGGGTGTAGTAGAGTCACTTATCGCTCACCGAATTAAAATGTTGATTTAATATCCATTTGTGCATTTATTTTCTGTTTAGAAATAACTGCTTTGGGCTATCGGTGGAGGATGGTCGTGATTGTTGTAGACAATGCATGATGATTAGGCAAACTAAAACTAATCGATTGAATGTGTCATAGAGTATGACGGTGGATTGAATACATTAATTTTATGTATTGATTGATTGTGTATAGAACCTTTGTGTTTATATGCATTGTGTATAGAGGAGGAGATGGGGGATGTACTCCGCGGTTTAGGGGAAGATGGGAGATGTACCTCTAAACCAGATAGTGTTGGGAGGAGATGGGGGATGAACTCCGTAGATACAGCTCATATGCTTGTCTAGAGAAGTGAAGGTACAGCTCATAGGCTTATCTTTGAGAAGTGTAGATACAGCTCATATGCTTGTCTAGTGAAGTGTGGATATAGCTTATATGCTTATCTGTTGATTCGTGATATGTTTATCTATTGATATGTTGATATAGCTAATATGCTTATCTACTAAATAAAGGTGGAGAATGAAAAGTAACATAGACTTGTATGTTATGAATCTGTGATGAGATATATGTGGATGTATCGGTATTGGCCATCTATCAATTGCTAATCTTTTAGTCATCGTTCATAGTTGGTTTAGTATATCTCTGCTGGGCTGTGGCTCACCCTATATGGGAATATCATTTTCAAGTACAGGTAGCATGCCACCTCCAAGGACGTAGCTTGGGAGGCTAGAGGCAGGCGGACTTTTGTCGTTTTATTTCTTTGATGTATTACATGTATATTCAAGCCAAGGGCTTAATGTGTAAATGAGTTAGCACTCCTTTGTTGTAACCAAGTGTTAACTTGGAAAGCTGTAAGCCCGTAGGGCATTTGCTTTTGTTGTTAACATGTAATACTTTTGTAAGAAACTACTCTGATGAATAGAATAATGTTTATCTTTATTACCAATTCATGTCTATATTGATGGGTTTAATGTTACTTTTTTTGAGGGCGTTACAGGTACCATTACCTTTCAATCGGTGTTTGGAAATTTGGCATTTTGTTGAGAAAAGATGCACCGTTGGCTTACCGTGCTCAAGGTAGATAAAGCAGAGTTGTTTATTATTATTGTTACAGTGTGACTGTGATATGTCATGTGTTATGATGATTGTGGTTCTGGGAGACCGAATTGTCTTAAAAGTTGAGTATGTAGTGGTTGAGTGTGTGTTGTTTTCACCTCTTGAGCTAAATGGTTATGTGTACACGTGGGTGTATCAAATTGATTGTTGATAGTATTTTCCTTAACATTGGGTTTACGGCATGGAAATGTGATGAATGTATTTATGCATTGAGGTTGTAAGAAACAAGGAAAAGAAAATCGGATCTTTGTGATTTGTTTCAAAGGCAAGGCGATTATTACGTAATACTTTGTTAAAGATGGGAAAATGAGAAGTAAATGTGAACTGCTTGTGTTGTTGAATAAATCGGATGATTTTGAGAAAAGTATCTATGTATGTATACTTTGGTTATAAACCGTTACAATATGTATATACTATGATGTGAAGCATTCATGATCATAGTTATCTGTATGTTGTTATTGTTCAAGATTATTTTGGAATCCTTACTGGACTTTATGTTCATCCCACGTTGCTAGTTCTTTTCAGGTGATGTTAAGAACTGCTCGAGATCGAGGATCATCCTTAGTTGTCGGCCACGGGCCTTTTTATTTGTGGGCGGAATGACGTTATTGTAAAAGGGTTAAACCATTTCATTTACTTTTAAAGATGTAAACCTACGGGCAATTTATTTAGTTATACTCCTATTGCATTCATTTTGCATTCGGATGAGGGAATCTTTATTTATTCTTTCTCATTGATATAAAGAGTTTCCACATGTTATCTCTGAAATTGAATTAATTTAATGATTTTGATAATAAATTCCGAGTAATAAAAAGTGGGGCGTTACAAACAATACCATTTGAATAAGAGAAAATATATGGTAGTTTTGAGGCACAGTTAGGTGATTACCAAAAGTTTTGTGTATGTGGAGAGGGTGGGGCCCCAATTTATATTGGAGCATGAAACATAACGCTGGGTGATTGGTGGATAATATTGTCATGTATTACACTTATAACACCTAATAATTTTTTATTAGCACTTAACGAATTGTTGTTTCTCAATGCCTTCCACCTTTTAATAAGGGTAAAACAATCATATATACATAAATATTTTGAAAATAGGACTTTGTGTTAAAAAAAACAAAGAAAATTCTATTTACACCTCAATTACTCTCAGTTCACACCATTATTTATAATATTTTAATTGCAATTTTATCCTTTAATCAAATATCCAAATTGCCCTCATCTCTATTTCATTCCTTCATAAACAAACCCTAACCTAACCTATTGACAGCCACCACCACCGACCAACCATCACCGATTGGCCAACCACCACCATCAGAAAGTCATCTTTACCGTTGTTGTCATCGCTCTCCTTCTTCTTCGTTCATTCCGTCGTTATAGCCATCACCACCCTCCTTTGCAACTTTTCTCCGTTGCTCCGCCGTTGCTGCTATTGCCGTTTCACTTTCCCAGTCCATCACTACCGCCACCATCCCGTAATCACCACCATTACAATAACCTATCACCATCGTGCCTCTCATCACATAGAGACCACCACCATCGCAACTTGCCAACATCTGATGACCAACCATGTGTAGTCCGTAGAGAGAGATTTGTGGGATTGCGACGATTGTGCATCAGTTCAATGAGGGTTGCAATGGTGGTAGGGCAGTGGTGGTAGGGGCAAAGATGAGGGTTGCGACGAGGAGGGGAGAGGGGTGGAGGTAGGTGGCTAACGGCTAGCAATGGACAAGGTTTTGGGTTAGGGTTAAGGTCGGAGACAATGAGAATAATTTGGTATTATTTAAAAATTAGTGGTGTGTCTTGAGACAAAATTAAAAGCTTTCATTTGTGTGTGGTGTGAACTGAGCAGGTGATGTATACTAAAAGGATTTGTGGTGTGTAAATAGAATCACCCTAAAACAAAAAGAAGAAAGACTTAATGCAATATCAACCTTTATCAATAGGACTTTTAGATGATTAACCCTACAAAATAACACTATAAAACTAATCATTTCAAAAGTTCTTGCCAAGAATTCTAAGTAAAACAAAAACCTTATAAGTTATAAAAATCTCTATGGAACCGCTACTCAAACGAGTAAAGATCTTCTGTAGTGTTTTTCCTTGTAGTGTTTGTGTAGTGCACCAAAATGACGTCGTTTTGGTGCTCATACCAAAAAAATGAAATGAAACAAAATGTAAAAGAGAAAAAAAAAAGCCAGAGAGAAGAAGACCCACATTGCAAACAGAGCACTTTTTCACCTTCATTTCTCACAATCGACTACCATGACCACCTCTGGCAATCACCCATCATTTCCCATTCTCTCCCCTCCCTCTCCTTTCCCAAAATCTGCTATTAACATCTCTGGCGACCCCTCGCCTGCGAGATCCACCTCATCTTCCCACTGTAGACCCACCCCTACCAATCCTTTCTCCATCTCAACTCCGACGAGCCTCTCTAACCCGTATCTACCCCCACCCGCCCCTACTTGGCCACCATTGCCACCGCAAGCTGTCTCTATCTCTATCTTTATTTCGATCTCGCCAGTGCTGGTGTTAACGGGGGTAGTAGGGTGGTTAGATAGTGGACGGGTAGTATCGGTCAAGCACCTCTCTCTCTCTCTCTCTCTCTATGTCTCTCTCTCTTTTACCAATAGGTCTTCTCTCTCGTGCTTCTATGCTTTGCTCTTGCGTTTTGTTGCAAAATTATTTTTTTGGGGGTGTGCAACAAAATGACGTTAGTTTAGTTTTGCATGTGGCATTTATCCGTGCAAAATTCTAATGGTGAATGACAGCGAGACCACATTGCAACAAAATTGAAAATATAGGGTTTAAATTGAAACTGCATTGACTAAACTGACATTTCATTTAAACTATATGGACTAACGGTTGTTCCTTAACCTCAAAACTCTTTATTTCAAATTCTAGGGATAATTACAAAAAAAAAAAATTCCAATGTTTGACCCTTGCAACAATATAAACTCTGAGTTTTCAATTTTATCAATTTAAACTATAATCTTTTAATTTGTTTTTAATCTAAATCATTTGTCTACTTTTGTTAACTAAAAATGATCAGAACAAAATAGTATTTTCGTGATGAAACTCACTGTAGGTACATAAAATGTCCAAAGAGTCATATTTTCATTGAGTTTAATGACTCATATATCCATTTTTCTATCGATTGTACTTAACAAAAATAGACAAATGATTTAGATTGAAAACAAATTAAAAATTCAGGTTTTAAATTGACAAAATTAAAATGCATGGTTTATTTTGTTACAAGGGCCTTTGTGTGTGTGTGTGTGTGTGTGTGTGTGTAATTTCCCCTAAATTCTTCCATCCAAAATACAATCTAAGTATTTTAAATAAGAAGCTTGCGTGTAAGTCTTAATATGTAGACTTATTGTCCAATATGTACTATGAGAATTAATAGTGTTTTTCATCAAACACTGTTAAAAAAAAATCACTAATTGTTAATTTTCACCGACAGTTTGAAAATTTTGCCACAAAAAATTGTCATAATTATAAGTTTTAACGATGGTTTAAAAAAATCATCACAAAAAAAGTCACTAATTTTTAACTTTCAGTGACAGTTTAAAAAATTCATCACATAAAAATATCACTAATTGTAAGTTTTAGCAACAATTTATAAAAAAATGTAATAAAAAAAAGTCGCTCATTATTAATTTTTAGCGACATATGCAAAAAATAGTCATAAAAAATTATTTTTAGCTACGATTTTACTAGGACTTGTTTTCAATACTATTTGATAGGAATTAAGGCCAACTATTAGGACCAATTGGTATTTTACCCTTTAAATACTTTGGTCAAAGTTCGCAAAATCACAGCCCAATTCATATTAGTTTAGCTAACTTTTTAGTCAAAAGAAATTGGGCAAATTATACATATAGTCTCTATACTTGCCTCCCATGTCAATTTGGTTTCTGTAATATTAATTTTGCCCTTTAAATTTTCAAATTGTGTCAACCTAGTCTAATTGATAATAGCCGTTAAAAAATTGAATAAAAATAAAAGGCAAAATGAACTATTAAAAAGAGAACGAATCATTTCTAATTGGATGCGAATCCTTCAATTACTTTGAAGGGAATTAAAAAAACCATTTTGTCTCTTAATTTTAGTCCAATTTCTAAATGAAATATTATCAACTAGACTAAATTGATACCATGTGCAAAATCGAAAGGTAAAATTGATGCATTAAAATTACAAGAACCAAATTGATATAAACAAACTAGAAGAATTAAATCTAATTTGTCTAAAGAAATATGACTCATAAAAAGAGAAATTTGTTCCTAAATACTAATTAATTTCAAGTGTAGTTTGACGTTCTTATTTTTTCATCCAACAAGATATTCAATCCAAAATATGTTGTGTTCTCATTATAGCCCAAAAGGTCAAGTGAAAATAGCAAAATAATAACTAAATTTATAAACGCCCACAGCAATGAAGCTTAAATAGATAAATAAATAAATAAGCTTAAGTCAAAGAAGCATACCTTATTGAAAAGAGGTTGAGTAGTATCGTAATTGCTATCCGAAGTATTACAAGAACTATTAAGCTTTGGCATCTGGCTGAGTTTCAGCGTGTTCAATTGCAGCAACTCAATTCCATTCACAGCCTTGCAGATTGCAGTAAAACTTGGCAGGTCATGGAGATACAAGTCCTCAAGTTTAGGAAACACAATTTTATCTGTTGCTTCTGTTGTTGTTGATGCTATCCCATTTTCATCTCCTTCTTCTTCACTCGAAATAAGTACTTCCAACTTACTACATTCAGATACAAGAAGTATCTCTAGTTGCATCAGATCTCTGGCTATGGATAATGAGAACATGCTTTCCAGTTTATCACATCTCTCCAATTTTAGAAAAGTGAGGTTGCGGAGCTGTACAAGTTGAGTAGGACCCTTCCACAAATGTGTCAATGCGGGCATTTCCCATAGTCGTAGCGTTTTCAACGCACTGAAGGCCACCTGTAATGCTCCAATTTTCATAAAATCCGATGAAACAAATCAAACTCATATTCCTTATTTATGTTCAAATCAAATCAAATTAACATGCGGAAGCCAAAAATCTAATCAAGATTCAACAATAATCATATACAAAATAATTAAGAAGAGACCTAGCGGTCTCAAGAAGATGACGGTGTTTACGCTCGGCTCGACCATTTTGGGCAGGTGTATCTGTACAGGAAGTTTGGTGAATGGTACCCAAATTGGCCAAATACTCACAGAACTCATTTTTAAAATATTCCCCACCCAAATCAGATCGTAACACTTTAATTGTAGATCCAAACTGAGTAGTAATCATAGACTGAAAAGTACGGTATATCTGATAGAAATCGGATTTATGAGTCATAAGATAAACCCAAGTGTAACGGGTGCAGTCATCAACAAAAGACACATAGTATGCAGAACCCCCTTTGGTGAGAACAGGAGAAGGGCCCCAAACATCAGTATGAACTAAAGAAAACGGTGTATCAGATATAGAAGTACTTTTACGAAAAGGTAAGGCTGACATTTTGGCAAGTTTACACCCCCGACATTCATTAATTGGACTAGGAGAAACTTTACCCAACAATCCTGACTGAGCTAAAGACCGTAAGCGGTCAACAGACAAATGACCGAGACGAGAATGCCATAAGTAAAACTGACTTGACTGAGAATCTAATTGAAATGAGGAAAGGGCAGCTGGAGAGGTGGAGAAGGGGAGATGTAAGCTTTCAACCACATAGAGATCTCCTATTCTACGGCCGGTTCCAATCTGCTTCTTGGACACCCGATCCTGCACACAACAGACAGAAGAGGAAAAGATAACATCAAAACCAGACGCATCAAGTTGACTGATAGATAACAAGCTGACAGATAACTGAGGAACATAAAAAACAGAAGGAATAGTAACAGCAGACATGGCAGAGGGTAAGACAGACCCAATAGATAGAACAGACATACCAGATCCATTAGCAGTATTGACGGTAATAGGAAAGGGAGGAGGAGTACAATTTTGAAGTAAGGAGAGATGGGGAGTCATATGATGAGAGGCACCAGAGTCAAAAAGCCAGACAGACGAAGAGATACCTGAAGAAGACCCAAGCAAACCTGAAGGAAGAGATGAAACAACGGAAGTAGATGGAGATGGCTGGGAGATAGACAATATATGCTGAAGTTGACTAATCTGAGCAGTCAAGGAAGCCAAGTCAAGATCAAGAGTCGGAGTAGATGCAACATACGCAGTGGGAGAAGCCCGGAAGTGGTTCTGAGATTGCTGAAAAAATGAGGTAGGCTGACGTCCCTTCTTGGGACAGTGGTACTTCCAATGGCCTTTCTGATGACAGAAGGCACACTCATCAAAAGCCAGAGACATCGTAATAACTAGAAAAAAGAGGGGTTAAAGTGTAATAAACCCTATATTCAACAAAATAGCCAAAACAGGGTCGAAGGGTAATGTACAGAAATCTGATAGGGGTAAGACCAATAAATCCAAAATCATAGTGTAATAATTAGAAGAGTCTTAGATCTGAATGTAAAAGATAAAAACCATTTTTTTTTTTTTTACCCTGACCCACAAATATGAAGACGAAAGAAAAAAAAACCAGAATAGAGAGAGTAGCAGCAGCAGAACAGAGAGACAATAGTAGGGCAACAAACTCTAAACGAAGCAATCAAAACTATCTCTAGCAAAGTAGGGAAGACAACTAAACCAGCAAACCAAACTAGAACAGCAACAGAACTAAGGAATTGAGCTTCTGTTGCAACAAAAACAGCAATCAAGCCCACCAAACCAGTCCACAATGAAACCACGAAGAGAGAGAGAGAGAGCATCAATGGAGTCACGAAGTGGAAGGAACAGCTAGACGATCGCGAAGAAGAGAGGGCAGTACCAGACGAGTTTGCTGAACAACTCGAATGGGAATATCTGCAACCTGAGGCTAGTTCCAAACACACCCAGAAGCAATCCAGCAGCCGTGGGACACTGTGGCAGTCACTTGACACTTACAATATCAACGTCTAAGGTTAGGCTTAAAACCTAGCTCTGATACCATGTAAGAATCCTGAAAACTTTTCTGTATATTCAATTGTATTCAAGATTACAATCAGACCTTAGATTATATAGCCCTAAATCCTAAACCAAAAAGGAAAATACAAATACAATTATAATTATGTCTCTAACAGGATTCTAACACAATCATGCCTCTAATAGGACTCTAATTTGTAAAACACAGAATAATAAACACAGGATAATATATTCTATATTCTCACATACGTAATAGCCGCTACGGCTTTTATGTAACGGTGGCGGCCGTTGCGGTCATGAATTTCTGTCACACCACTATAGCAGTCATAACGGGTAGTGATGATAACCACCACAATCATTACATAACGACGTTAGTAATGGTTGCGGTTGCTTTTTAAAATCTTGAATATGACACTTTGAAATTATATACCATATATCATTTTGGGTAGAGAATTTTAAACATTTGATAAAATATGAGCAAATCCTAATTTTTGTACAATATATGTATATATATATAAAAAATAAAAGACCTCAATTTCTTCAAAATCATAACTAACAAAAAATACCACACAATCAAGGTAAAACAAATATACATAGAGGAGAAGAAAAGTCTCAAAATCAAATGCATCAAAAACGCGATTGGCTTAGGTCAAACGAAACCCCCAACACACTACATTTCATATCAAAATAGCAAGGTGTGATTTGATTCAAAGGCAAGGCGATTATTATGTAATACTTTGTTAAAGATGGGAAAATGAGAAGTAAATGTGAACTAGTTGTGTTATTGAATAAATCGGATGATTTTGAGAAAAGTATCTATGTATGTATACTTTGGTTATAAACCGTCACAATATGTATATGATATGATGTGAGTCATTCATAATCATAGCTATATGTATGTTATTTATTTAGGATCATGTTGGGATCCCTACTGGACTTTATGTTCATCCCACGTTACTATTTCTTTTTAGGTGATGTTAAGAAGTGCTCAAGATCGAGGATCATCCTTAGTTGTTGGCCACGGGGCCTTTTTATTTGTGGGCGGAATGCCGTTATTGTAAAAGGGTTAAACCATTTCTTTTACTTTTAAAGATGTAAGCCTACAGGCAATTTATTTAGTTATACTCCTATTGCATTCATTTTGTATTCAGATGAGGGAATTTTTATTTATTATTTCTCATTGATTTAAAGAGTTTCCGCACGTTATCTCTGAAATTGAATTAATTTAATGATTTTGGTAATGGATTCCGAGTAATAAAAAGTGAGGCACTATAAACAATACCATTTGAATAAGAGAAAATATATGGTACTTTCGAGGCACACTTAGGTGATTACCAAAAGTTGTGTATGTGGAGAAGGTGGGGCCCAATTTATATTGGAGCATGAAACATAATGATGGGTGATTGGTGGATAATATTGTCATGAATTACACTTATAACACCAAATAATATTTTATTAGCACTTAATGAATTGTTGCTTCTCAATGCTTTCCACCTTTTAGGTAAAACAATCGTATATACATAAATATTTTGAAAATAGGACTCTGTGTTAAAAAAAAAAAAAAAAAAAATCTATTTACACCTCAATTACTCTTAGTTCACACCATTATTTATAATATTTTAATTACAATTTTATCCTTTAATCAAATATCCAAATTGCCCTCATCTCTATTTCATCCCTTCATCAACAAACCCTAACCTAACCTATTGACAACCACCACCACCGATTGGCCAACCATCACCATCAGAAAGTCATGTTTACCGTTGTTGTCATCGCTCTCCTTCTTCTTCTTTCATTCCGCCGTTGCAGCCATCACCAGCCTCCTTTGCAACTTTTCTTCGTTGCTCCGCCATCGCTGCCACTGCCGCTTCGTCTTTCCAGTCCATCGCTACCGCTACCATCCCGTAATCACCACCATTACAATGTCCTATCACCATCATGCCTCTCATCACGTTGAGACCACCACCATCGCAACTCGCCTAGATCTAATGACCAACCATGTGTAGTCCGTAGAGAGAGATTTGTGGGATGGCGACGAATGTGCATCACTTCAATGAGGGTTGCGATGGTGGTAAGGCAATGGTGGTAGGGGCGAAGATGAGGGTTGCGATGAGAAGGGGAGAGGGGTGAAGGTCGGTGGCTGACGACCAGCGGTGGACAAGGTTTCAGGTTAGGGTTAGGGTCGGAGATGATGAGAATAATTTGGTATTATTTAAAAATTAGTAGTGTGTCTTGAGAAAAAATTAAAAGCTTTCATTTGTGTGTGGTGTGAACTGAGCAGGTGATGTGTACTAAAAAGATTTGTGGTGTGTAAATAGAATCACCCTAAAACAAAAAGAAGAAAAACTTAATGGAATATCAACCTTTATCAATAGGACTTTTAGATGATTAACCCTACAAAATAAAACTATAAAACTAATCATTTCAAAAGTTTTCCCAAGAATTCTAAGTAAAACAAAAACCTCATAAGTTATAAAAATCTCATTGGAACTACTACTCAAACAAGTAAAGATCTTTTGTAGTGTTTTTCCTTGTAGTGTTTGTGTAGTGCACCAAAATAACGTCGTTTTGGTGCACATACCAAAAAAATGAAACGAAACGAAATGTAAAAGAAAAAAAAAAAGTCAGAGAGAAGAAGACCCACAGTGCAAACAAAGCACTTTTTTACCTTCCTTTCTCACAATCGACTACCATGACCACCTCTGGCAATCACCCCTCATTTCCCATTCTCTCCCCTCCCTCTCCTTTCCCAAAATCTGCTATTAGCATCTCTGGTGACCCCCCGCCTGCGAGATCCACCTCATCTTCCCACTGTAGACCCACCCCTACCAATCCTTTCTCCATCTCAACCCCGACGAGCCTCCCTAGCCCGTTTCTACCCCCACCCATCCCTGCCTGGCCACCATTGCCACTGCAAGCTCTCTCTATCTCTATCTCTATTTTGATCTCGCCAGTGCTGGTGTTAGAGGGGGTAGAAGGGTGGTTAGATAGTGGAGGGGTAGTATCGGTCAAGAACCTCTCTCTCTCTCTCTCTCTCTCTCTCTCTCTCTCTCTCTCTCTCTCGCGCGCGCGCTTCTATGCTTTGCTCTTGCGTTTTGTTGCAAAATTATTTTTTAGGGGGTGTGCAACAAAATGACGTTAGTTTAGTTTTGCATGTGGCATTTATCCGTGCAAAATTCTAATGATGAATGACAGCGAGACCACATTGCAACAAAGTTGAAAATATAGGGTTTAAATTGAAACTACAGTGACTAAACTAACATTTCATTTAAACTATATGGACTAATGGTTGTTCCTTAACCTCAAAACTCTTTATTTTAAATTCTAGGGATAATTACCAAAAAAAAAAAAATTCCAATGTTTGACCCTTGCAACAATATAAACTCTGAGTTTTCAATTTTATCAATTTAAACCATAATCTTTTAATTTGTTTTTAATCTAAATCATTTGTCTACTTTTGTTAACTAAAAATGATCATAACAAAATAGTGTTTTAGTTATTAAACTCAATGTAGGTACATAAAATGTCCAAAATACCCATTTTCATTGAGTTTAATGACTAATATATCCATTTTTCTATCGATTGTACTTAACAAAAATAGACAATTGATTCAGATTGAAAACAAATTAAAAATTCAGTTTCTAAAATGATAAAATTAAAATTCATGGTTTATTTTGTTACAAGGGTCATTTTTTGTTTTTTTTGTTTTTTGTTTTGTGTGTGTGTGTGTGTGTGTAATTTCCGCTAAATTCTTCCATCCAAAATACAATCTTAGTATTTTTAAATAAGAAACTTACGTGTAAATCTTAATATGTGGCCTTATTGTCCAATATGTCCTGTGAGAATTAATAGCTTTTTTCATCAAACACTGTTAAAAAAAAAAAAATCACTAATTGTTAATTTTCAGTGACAGTTTGAAAATTTTGTCACAAAAAATTGTCATAATTGTAAGTTTTAACGACGGTTTAAATAAATCATCAGAAAAAGTCACTAATTTTTAACTTTCAGTGACAGTTTGAAAAATTCATCACATAAAAATGTCACTAATTGTAAGTTTCATAAACAATTTATAGAAAAAGGTAACCAAAAAAAAAGTCACTAATTGTTAATTTTTAGCGACATATGCAAAAAATAGTCATAAAAAAATTATTTTTAGCGACGATTTTACTAAGACTTATTTTCAATAGTACTTGATAGGAATTCAGGCCAACTATTAGGACCAATTGCTATTTTACCCTTTAAACAATTTGGTCAAAGTTCGCAAAATCACACCCCAATTCATATTAGTTTAGCAAAATTTTTAGTCAAAAGAAATTGGGCAAATTATACCTATAGTATTATACCTATAGTCTCTATACTTGCCTCTCATGTCAATTTGGTTTCTGTAATATTAATTTTACCCTTTAATTTTTCAAATTGTGTCAATCTAGTCTAAGAGATAATAGCCGTTAAAAAATTGAATAAAAATCAAAGGCAAAATGAACTACTAAAAAGATAATGAATCATTTCAAATTGGACGCGAATCCTTCAATAACTTTGAAGGGAATTAAAAAAACCATTTTGTCTCTTAATTTTAGTCCAATTTTTAAATGAAATATTATCAATTAGACTAAATTGATACCATGTGCAAAATCGAAAGGTAAAATTGATGCATTAAAATTACAAGAACCAAATTGATATAAACAAACTAGAAGAATTAAATCTAATTTGTCTAAAGAAATACGACTCATAAAAAGAGAAATTTGTTCCTAAATACTAATTAATTTCAAGTGTAGTTTGGGGTTCATATCTTTGCATCCAACAACATATTCAATCTAAAATATGTTGTGTTCTCATTATAGCCCAAAAGGTCAAATGAAAATAGCAAAATAATAACTAAATTTATAATCGCCCCACAACAATGAAGCTTAAATAAATAAATAAATAAATAAGCTTAAGTCAAAGAAGCATACCTTATTGAAAAGAGGTTGAGTAGTATCGTAATTGCTATCCGAAGTATTACAAAAACTATTGAGCTTTGGCATCTGGCTGAGTTTCAGCGTGTTCAATTGCAGCAACTCAATTCCATTCATAGCCTTGCAGATTGAAGTAAAACTTGGCAGGTCATGGAGATACAAGTCCTCAAGTTTAGGAAACACAATTTTATCTGTTGCTTCTGTTGTTGTTGATGCTATCTCATTTTCATCTCCTTCTTCTTCACTCGAAATAAGTACTTCCAACATACTACATTCAGATACACGAAGTATCTCTAGTTGCATCAGATCTCTGGCTATGGATAATGAGAACATGCTTTCCAGTTTATCACATCTCTCCAATTTTAGAAAAGTGAGGTTGCGGAGCCGTACAAGTTGAGTAGGACCCTTCCACAAATGTGTCAATGCGGGCATGTCCGATAGTTCTAGCGTTTTCAACGCACTGAAGGCCACCTGTAATGCTCCAATTTTCATAAAATCCGATAAAACAAATCAAACTCATATTCCTTATTTATGTTCAGATCAAATCAAATTAACATGCGGAAGCCAAAAATCTTTTCAAGATTCAACAATAATCATATACAAAATAATTCACTTTTCTTGTTATACTTCATTTCATTATAGTTTTAGATTTACAAAAGAGATTACATACGATTACACATTCACAATTTCCAAGGCATGGATCTATAACATGTGGTATAATACTTCATAAATATTCAAAATTTAAATGCCCTAATGGATTACAAGTTATAGTGGTTAGAACCCTATTACAAAAAGAATGGGTCTCTACCCAAACATATAAACCAATGCTTTACAAAAATAAGCAAACAAAATGAAGGAGCATTCATGCTCCAAAAATCACATCACGAGCCTTCAACGAGGCGGAGGCAAATCACCAACAACTAAAAATGATTTTCCATGAAGGGATGAACATTGATGCCCAGTAGATATAATATTAACAATATATATGAGATTAACAAGATTATGATCATGAATGCAATGATGTGTGCTATGCTTAAAATATAAGCTTCTTTTTTTTTTTTCAATAGGATGCTCAATGCACAACTTTCAAAATAATATTCATTTCAACATTTTCATTTCAAAACATCAGGACAGTAAGGCCTTGTTTGGCAAAGGCTAAAATTCGGCTTTTTAGGCTAAAATTCACAAAAAGACAAAAGGCTAAAATAGCTAATAAGACAAAATGTCACATCAAACTCATAATCATTTCACTTTTTCTCCCACAAACATCACATCTAACTACAAAAAAATCCAACCATCTTCCCAAACACAAAAATTTTAGCCTACTAAAGTAGTGAAAAACTAAAATAGCCTACTAAAATAGCCAAAAACCCAAACAAGGCCTAAATAAGACATTCGAATTTCCTAGTACGTGTCTGCAAATAGGCCCTCAAGCACTACCAAATACTACTTTAACGGCTACTAACCAGAAGGAAATTGATACCTATTCCACTCGTGTCTTAGGACTTTTACCATGACGCAAACCAACTTAATTCTCAAATCCACAATTACATCCCCTATTCAGATTTACCACGTTATCAACATTTCCAATATTTTCAAAATAATAGCACAATCTCATTGTAAGGCCATGGAAGTGCAATGGATGCATGAAACAATAATCTGTAACAAAATATTCCAATAAGAAAATATATTTAGAGCATAACTCAAC